ACTGCAGGAAATGCAACAACAACACTGTGAAAGACCTGACACCCTTCCCAGATCAAAACCAAATCCAGATAGACGTGGTGCGAGCTTTTGTAAGGTCAAAAATCAATCTATTGGACGCATATGAACAAATTTGGGTCAACATGTCAGATATTGGGAAGACCGCCTTCTTAACAATTGTTGGTACCTTTGAAAGCATTGTGTTACAGCAAGAAGACTGCAATGGACCTACTATATTCCAATGCCTGATGACACACATATTTTGGCCCTACATAGGAGTATTTATGCACATCTACCTGAATGATACCTTCATATTTTTGGATTCCATTGAGGAACACAAGAAGCATCTCAAAATTGTGTTCTCAACACTTCGCAAACAATAGCTATATCTAAAGGCCTCCAAATGTGACCTCTATTTGACATAGATGGACTGCTTAGGCCACATTATTGACAACCATGGCCTTCACGCTGATTCGGACAAAATGGCTCAAGTCTGCAACTGGCACACGCCTTGAAACTGCAATGACGTGCAGAAGTTCCTTGGACTCGTACAGTACCTAGCACATTTCATGCCCAACATATCCACTTATATGGGGCTATTAGCTGGGATGACTAGGAATAGCCTATTGTTCAAGTGGCAACCCATCCATCAAAAGTACTTCAAATTGATAAAGTATCTAGTGTGCAAGGCTCCTATATTAAAACCAATAGACTTGCGATGCGACGAATCCATCTGGGTAATTTGTGACGCATTGATATTGGGAGTAGGCACTATGTACGGGTAAGAGCCAGACTGGCAACACTGTCGCTCTGCTGGCTTCATGTTCCGCAAGTTTACTAATGCACAACATGCCTACCAAATCTTTGAGCTCAAAATGATCGCCATATTGGAAGCATTGTACAAGTGGGAAGATAAGCTGCTGGGACAAAGCATCCATATCGTAACCAATTACAAGGCTCTCAAATTTTTCAAGACTCAAGCTCACCTGTCTAATTGCCAGACCTGTTGGATGGGATTCCTCACTCGGTTTGACTATCAGATCGTGTACATTAAAGAAATCACCAACAAAGTGGTGAACTGTTTATCCAGGTACTACGAAAGCAACAAAGGAGAGATGTATCCTTATAACGAGTATGTCAGTGCAGATTACAGAATAGATTCTGAAGGCAAAGACCTACCATTTCATTGGCTCAAAGAAGTACAATCAGTATGCGTGAGACCGACAGAGGAAGATAAACCTTTGCTGGCCCGCAGTCTGACTACTTGCAAAGAGCTTCAGGTGGTTGGAGCCACCTCAAGTGACCCACTTCTGACAGAACCAGATCCTCTCATCTTTGAGGATGAGAGTTTGCAACTGCTAACCAGAGATTTTGACACTGACATCAAGTTCATGGAGTATGTAAGATCAGGCTATCTTGAGAATGCAACATTCTCAAAGATCCTGGCTAATTCTGCTCACTTCAAAACCTTTGAAGTACAAGGTGGCCTAATTTTCATGAGAAACAGGCTACAGCACCACATGCTTTGTATCTCCTGAGTCAAATTCAAAAAGAACTTGCTAGTCAGACTGATAATAGACCATGCCCATACTGTCCTCGGCCATTTTAGTATCTGAAAAACCAATGACTATATTTGGCGCTAGTACTGGTGGCCTACTCTTAGTCAAGATGTGGAAAAGTTTTGCACGTCATGTAGTGTTTGCCAAACAACCAAGCTCTCCACCCAGATGCCTGCTGGGCTACTTCACAGCCTGCCCATCCTTAGGCAACCTTAGGGATCTATTGCTATAGATTTCCTAGGGCCTCTTCTGGAGGACAAGGGATTTGACTTCCTCTGGGTTGTCCTTTGTTAGATGACCAGTAACGTACATCTAATCCCTCTCACTATGACAACAAGATTCTTTGATCTCGCCTGGGTCTTCATCAAGGAGATCATCTGACTGCATGGCCTGCTGGATGATGCCGTCTCTGACCGTGATACTAGATTTACATCTAGGTTGTGGAGAGAGATAATGTGTCTGCTCGGTATCAAGCAACTCATGTCCACAGTGTTTCATCTGCAAACTGATGAAGCCATGGAGAGGGCCAATCACTCTATTGAACAAATATTGAGAGCGTTTATCAGCCCAGACCAGAAGAACTGGGTCTTCAAACTGTCAACGGTTGAATTCACCCTCAATTCATTCATTAACTCATCTTTTGGCTACGTCCCTTTTGAGCTAGTCCAGGGCACAATGCCGCATATGATTAAAATAGTTTCTACTAACAATCTAGTGCTAGGTGCCAAGGCCTTCGCTGAACATGCCATACTCGATTTGCTTGTGGCACATAATGCAATAATTGACAGCTGGGTACATTAAACCTACCACATGAACTTGAGAAGACACGACGAAGACAAGCATTGCAGTGAACAGAATTTGCTTCAACTAGGTAACAAAGTCTATTTGTCCACAGAGAAATATTAATCTTCCAAAAGGAAAAACAAGAAAGCTTACACCACGCTATATTAGACCATTCAGTATAGTGGACAGTGATTTTTTGACATCATCATACATGTTAGACTTACCAGAACACTTCAAGGCCTGTGGATTACACCCAAGATTCCATGTTAGCCTACTCAGAAGACACGAACAGAATAACAAGATCCTATTTTCTCACAGAGAAACACAAGTTTACTATGACATCAGTACTTCAGAAGATATGAAATGGTTAGTGGACAAAATAAAAGCATACAAATGGATTGGGAAGAAGATAGAATTCGAAGTAAAATGGAATTATGGAGATATAACTTGAGAACTATATGGCCACTGCAAGAATTTGGTGGCCCTCGACTACTATCTCGACCAAATCAGAATGAAGCACTGGCAAGTGCTATCACGCGCTGGTGCTAAATGCAAGCACACATAAGATCTCTTGACGCGCTCTTATTGCCAGGGTCCCATCACCTAGATAGAGTAGTTTTTAGATTAGATAGACAATTTCCTTTTTTATTTTTCAAGTCCCTGTCAAACATATTACTTAATTATGCAACAGAGGCAAAGCTACCTTTTTGACCGCTACCACCACCACTTCAAAACATACTGCCACCTCAAGTATTGCCTTCCTGAAAATCCCAACACAACATCAACATAAGAATGTCCCGAGAACACTGGTCATCACTTTGAGGAAGTTGGCTCGTGGACACAAAGTCCGCGACTCAGCCCCTGAGAAACTAACGGCCGCCCAGCCCCTAACGGAGCAGATTCTCTCGAGAGGAGCAAGAGTGCTATGGCCATTCTAGGCCGTGGCCTTGATACTCCTCTTCACGGTTGTACTTGCAACCACAACCACCATGCTTTATGTCGTGTGAGCGCCGCTTAGAACTTCCACCTGGCCAGCACAAATGGGTGTATGACCTTAGTATCAAATGTATGCAATATTAGGGGCGGTGCAGCGGCTGCACCACTTTCGTGAGCCACAGTTCTCTTGGGACACAGCACTCTGACTACCTGGATGCAATCCGAGACATGCAGGCCAACCTGTTGCATGGGCTCCTGAAGGAGAATGTGTGACTTCGACATATAATACATGACCTGGAGTGACACCTGGACTGTTGACGCTCTATTGAACGTTGACCACGGCATCAATCCCCCTCACTAAGGCAATCTGTCACATTGACATCTATGGACAACAGCCACCAAAGGCATGTTGTCGGCAACTGACTCATCCATGTTGGCAATTGCAGCCTTGCAGACCAACTGGAGGATACTTGACCAGGACCATATTATCACAATGGCTGAAGCAAGGCTAGAAGTTTGGCTGTTTGACACAATTCAACTCTTGTCGCCAGCTACCGGCACAGAGAGTATGCTATTGGCGAGCCGCATACGCAGTGCTCCTGAAGTGTCTGGCAGCGGTATGCAACCTCTCAAGAATACACAGTTCTTGAGAACTCCATACAACAACTTCAACGATGACAAGTTCAATAATCAATCCAAGCCAGAATCAGAGCTGCCATTGGATGCCAATGCAAATTAGATTCACAAATACAATTACCACAGAAGCAAGCACGAGAAGAAAAAAGCCAACATTGCACTAGCAGACAAGCAATGCAATGAGAGCAAGTGCACGGATGAGCAGTGCAAGCATCGCCGTACGTCACATAAGGCAAGCAAACTGCTGAAGTGGTACAAAGCACATTCAGAGAAGGTGCCCAACAATTATCAGCCACACACTGGAAAATCCCCCATGGATTGGTTTATCCAGATCAATGAATTGCTCAGCACCCTAATAGACAGGCCAATCATTGGCCCCTCATCTGCTAAGCACAGAGCAGAAGCCATGACCAAAGACATAGCACAGGACTACAAGGAGCAGCTACGCAGCATTGTCTTGTTCTTCAATGCAAACCCTAAGCACGTTTGTGAGGGGTGGGAGCCTTCCTTGTGTCAGACTACAACACTTGAAATGACTGGGTCAGCATGTTTAAGCCACTCCCATCAGTCCCAGACTCTGTTGACTCACTACAGTGCGCATTTCAACCACCGAACCCCAAGTACAAACTTGCGGACATTATAAAGTTCTGCAGGCTAGACTGAGATGGTGAGCTATCTGAATACACCTACTTTAAGTTTCTAAAGGACTGAAATGAGCTCTACCAGCTCATGTCTCTTGTACTGACTCTCTTGAACTATGCGGCACACTTTCTAGTCAGCCTCTTACTTGCTAATGCGTCGCTACCCAAAGGCAAAGATCCCATTCGCAACAATTCCTACTACATCATAACCAAAGACCTGAGGATCATGATCTAAAGCATTGTCTGGGAAAAGCCTAAGTGGATTCCCTTCAAAAGATTCAGGTCTAAACACCTGACTGTGTATAATCCAAAAGGCAAGGGCAAGGCAAAAAATGATGCCAGAGACCCTACACCTGAAGGGGCTGTCTCTCTTGACAAGTCCTCAGACAACCAGCTGGGTGCAGGATACGCAAACACTATAGAAATTGACTCCACAGCTGCAGCACCCATGCCTGGCATACTGGAGGTTACTGCAAACAATCCTTCGTGCTTCAAGATTGCGTTCATTAACTACTGGGAAGAGTACCTCAATAATAACCCCAACTGCTTCATTTCCTGGGTCGAGTGGAATAAGAAGACAAACAAGATTGTCAGCCATCGTCTATTACTCGGTATGATCATTGCATCTGAGTGGGGCCCAAAACTGCACCAAAGCATTTGTGCTCTGCACTGGCTCGGTTGTGTATGCCGCATGCACTATTACCAAGGTATACTTTTGAACATTGGTGTCATTGACCACAGTGTTCGCTTTGACTACTGCGACAAAGTGACTGATCAGGCTGTACTCAACTTCTTCACACTCGTAGTCTGCCCAGCGGCCGAACGTATGTACAAGATTGGAATTATCACCAAGAGGCAATCTGAGCTCCAGAACAGCCTACTCACCTGGCACATAGTGGTTTGCAACATCATCTCATAGCTCAGAATCCCCATGAACATTCAAGGGTATTATGAGCAATTGTATAGTTTTATTTTTCTTCAAATTCCTACTACTACTCTATGCTCTAGTCTTTATGTACTGTATTGCCTTTGCCACACTTTGGCTTGAAGGGGCAGATATAAGATGGCACTTAGACAGGCCCACCTTGGATCATCAAGAAGGTGCAGTCCCGACAGCATTTTGATTACGTGCCAGCGCGCTGTTTAGGCGCTTATTTTATTAGATAAGTGTTTCAGGCTCTTGAGCTCATAAAGTTTGAGACATCGGCCTAGGTAGATTTTTCCTATCACTCTCGCATGTACACCGTATATTTAGGACTTGAATAAAGTCAGTTTAAATTTATGGTGTGAGTGAGAGGACACCTCCCATGACAACCTTACATTAACATAGGTAGTTAGATGGAGGTTACAGGTTCAATCCTGACTGGAAGAGCTTTTTATTTCAAAAATTTCCAGTTTTGAGCATTGAAATAAAGTGACACTATGACAGATAGTGAGACTAAATATTTCTATAAGATATGTATGGAAATTTTGAGGTGGCAGAATAGAGTAAAACAGCTACTGAGTCTGGAAGCTGGAAAGATTAAATTTCATGTACAAGATAATGACTATATGCTGTATTATGAACTTATATGCCCAGGTATGAGTAATATTGGTATATAATACTTTGCAAATATTGTAATAGATGTGCCTTGAATATATTTGTGAATTATGACCAAGTATTGCTTTTGTAAAGAGTACTAAGAGTGCAAAGCATGTGAACAATTGTTGTTAATTCCAAACAAATTGCACTATTTCTATATATATTCATGCCTGTTAAAAGTATTATAGAGACCCCGCCACAAAATAATCAGATGATTTCGTTAACTATGGAACCCACAATTCATTGTGTAACACTATGTACTAAGGTTTAAGACTAGTGGCAAGCACTTTATCATTG